TATCATCAATAAACATATGATGAGACAATAACTTGAGGATTTTTTTCAATTATTGAGATTCGTCTATATTGAAATATTAATATAATATTAATAAATTTTAAATTTATAGGATATTCCAGTTTGCCACGTAGCTGTCATAGCGCAGGTTTAGACGGTGCGGGAATGTCAGAAGGTAGTACTGGCGTTCCATTCAGTTCGCCTTACTGTCCAGATAATACTTTGCCACTGCTAGAACCTGTTTCGGAGGACCAAGAAATTCATAGCAGAAGAAACAATGGTCAGTGATATTCTCATCTTTTTCTAATATAGCTATATGGAATTTTCGTTTCATCGTTTTTTGTGGATTTTTATCGAATTGAATTTTTATGCTGATTCGAGACGCATGGCTTATGATACGTATCGACAGATTTTCTTAATTCTATTCTTTTATTAATTCATTTTTTTTACGTTAATTCTCATAGAATAATACGCATTTCATTTTTATAAGTATAAGCGATTTTATTATTCTCTTGATTCGGCGCGAATACGGATTTTAAATATTTTATAACATATTTATATATTGTAATATATTACTTCTTTCTCTTACTATCTAATCTATTTTTAATGCTAATTTAATATATAATTTTTATCTGAGCATACATTTTATCAAAGCTATGCTTGCATACATGCACAATTCATAACACTCACAATTCAGAGAAATTTATTCTCTATTGTATTTATTCTTATATTGTAAATAATATTTATAAAGGAACCATGCGTCACGATGGAATGCACTTGTAACACGCATGTGTAAATAAGTATGATTAATATGTTTCAGATTGAAAAGTTTATTTTTTTGTTAAAATATCATTGTAGTTTGTAATAACTGGGTAATCACAATACACAAGAAACCGTAATATCATGATTCAATTGATAAACATAATTTCCCAATTACATTTGTTGTTACAAATGTTGATTGCATGAATATAATTGTTTCTGATATATTTTCAAGGAATCGGTATTGCATGAGTGTTTTTATCTGGGTGAAAGGCCAGACAAAACAAACACAAGATTGATTGATATGTACATTTTAAAATATATTTTTATCATGTTTTCTTTTTCATTTTAATTGAAAATTTAAGCAAAATGTTTCACATACTAATAAAATAGTATATAGTTTATTATCATCTAATTATTATATTTTCTTTGAATGAATTTTAAATACTAAATTATTTAATATACATATTTGTATTATTATTTCTCTCTACTTAATTCTTAATAATTTTTTTTATTTTGTTTTTGTTTTTGTATAAATGTTTTATTTATTACTCATAATAACGATATAATAAAATTTTATTATTAATAAAAATAAAAAAAAGCTATTCATAATACAATAAACATTAAATATAAAATAAAAACTTAAAATAACTAGAAAAATTTTTATTTTAAAAAATTATTTATATTTTATAATTTGTAAATATAATAATAATAGATTTAATTTAAATAGATTATTTTTTACTAATCTTAAATCTTTTGATACATTTACATATTATTTCTTTCTATAATTTTATTATGCTTTCTTTATTTTTTTTCATAATAGATTTTTCAAACAATTTATTTATCATGTTAAAAGGGCCTTGCATCCAGAGATATTCAATCTGATTTCATGCGATTTCGTTTAACATAAATATAAAAGAAGAGCAAAAAAAAATTCTATTAATAAATATTTCGTAAATTTACAAATATAAAAACGTAAAAGCGTGAAAAATAGTACACAATAGTTCCTGGATAAGTGATTACATTTTCCTTCTTCAAAGGAAACGATCTTATTATTATTTTATATCATCAAAAGTAAACTTTTTAATCTTGAATAATTGATGATAATTGAAAATATTAAATCTCAATTGATTAATATTTAACGTCAATAATATTTAGTATCAAAGGTGTTAAACTTTGGGTTATTTATAACCCATGCTATTATATATTTATTTATTATATTTATATATTAATATTTATAATATATATAATATTAATATTTATATATTATATATTTCAGAAATAATTTATACATCAAAATTTCAAGTTATATTATTAATGAATTATTAACTGAAATAATATAGTTATAATTATTAATAATATTTTAATGATAATTATTAATTTCAATGATTATTAATGACATGAAGATTAGAGACGCCAACTATTTTAAAATTTATTATTAAATTCTTTTTAAATCTTATTTTATCTTATTTTTATAAATAAATCTAAAAGAAAATTTCGTCACAGCTAAATTATTTAGAATATCTTTAAATCGATCATTTAACAAAAAATCGGAGATCAATTTAAAAATTATATAATTAACAAAAAAAACTTCTTGCAAAATTGAAATTCAAAGTCAAATTTGGAAGTTCAAGATCAAATCTTGAAATTCAAAGTCAAAATTGTTTTTATTTCATTGTATTTTATCATTATATTCATCACCAAAGTATTAAAAGAATCAATTGTTCGTAATATAATTATTTTTTTGAAAAATGATATTAAAATTTTATTAATTTTTAAATTTTATTTATAATATACTTACATTTTAGACAGATAGATCGTAAATACGTGCTATCGACAAAATGGTAAGAAATAAATTAGCTAGTGAAATATATTTATTTTATAAAAGAAGGCAAGATTATGAATAAAGGAATTTTATATTGAAAATGTCTAGAATATTCATAATTTCTCATGAATATAAATGCAATAAAAACATGATTTATAATGGAGACTTATAATTTATAATTGAATCAATAATTACTAGAATAATTACTTGTTTATGAAATAATAATTTCTTATTCTTTATAATTATTTTTTTCTAACTTTGAATTGATAATATATCGAAATACTGAATATAAAAATATAAAGAAAATAATTATATATATGTATTTGAACATTATTCGTTTTAGATCTCAGAGATAGATTTCATAGATCTTTTAACAATTTTTGTATATTTATATATATATATATATATAAAAATATATATTTTATATATTTTATATTTTATTCAATTTGAGAAAATTGTATGTTTCGAGGTTTAATATTGCAGAAAACATTATATCTTTTTTTATTTATACCAGATCTCTTTTTGTTTATTAATCATTAGACAACTATGATCAATCTTTTTTGAAAAAAATTCAAGGAAATTCGAGCATAATAATGTACAATTTAATAAATTTTTAAATTTTCAATCTAGAAAAGGAAAAGAATATACGAAAGAAAGTGCTAGTTAATTGAGAAAATGGAAACTAATCGTGTTTATCAACCATTACTAGATTTGCATCGCGTGCTTAGCTTCGCAAATAATCTGAGTTTCGAAAAACATGCTAATCTTCAGAAAAATTTTGTTTGCTGTACAAATTTTTATCTATCTGGCTCGCAGAAAATAGTACACTTAAAATGATTTGAAGGATTTGATGATTTTATTAGTCATAATATTTGGATGGTAAAAGGAATAATGATGGAAAAAAATATTAAATCCTTAATTCCTTTTACAGACATTACGTATGTAAATGATTTATTATAAAGAATTATATTATAATATTTGAAAAGATTATAAATTATTTTTATGCAATGTTGATCATTGATATAAGTGTATTATATTTAAAATTAATAAATTTTCAAATCATTTACTCACGAAGGAATATATTTATTTGAAATCAACTATAAAAATAAAAAAAACTTTCAAATGGACGTGTAAATACTTTTATCCAGGGATCGAACGAAACTTTGAACTTTTATAAATAAAAGTTATATGAACTTTTAACTTTTGAACCATTTATTGTTTCAAGTTAAATTTATACTTTAATTTTGTCGTATATTTCCATTTATATTGGATTAATAAAAGTTTTGAAGGATAATATATTTATTACAGATTTTTTTTTTTATATTTAAATATGGAATATGAGTAAACATATTGTATTTTTTATATAAATTTTATGTAAAAAAAATATTATTGTATTATTTTAAAAGATTAATAAGTTCAGTATTCATTTAATTTTACAATTAATATATTGTTATATAAATAGAATTTCATTCATGAATGAATCTAAACAGCTTCAACTTTGAATTTATTTATAAATTTGAAAACAAAATAAAAGATTCTATTCAATTAAAACTTTTTTCTTATTTATATGAAAATAAAAATATATGAAAAATTTCAATGAATACATATCAAATTACATTAATTTTACAATTATTTTAAAAAAGAAAATATAATAGTTAAAAAATTGCTGTTATTGTTACAACTAGATTGAAAATTTCAATCGTTTCATATGATGTCTTTATTCAATGATCATATGATGTTTTTATTCAATGCTTTTGATTTATAGCATTTAATTAAATTTTATAAACAAATTTAACAAATGTTTCTTTTCTTCTGTTAAGTAAATCTATATCATGATCAATTATTCGGGAACTACTGTATTTTAATTAAAAATATTTTGCTTTAATCGTACGAAGTTTCATTATTATGTTAAACAAAATATATCCTCACATATCTCAGCATTTTCCATTCGTTAAATTTAGTTTATTTTTATTTTATTATAATTTTAAGAAATTCATTGTTTATAGAATGTAGAATTGTTATATACTTAAAATATTCATTAAATAGAATTGATTAAAGTTAAATATTTTAAATTCTAATTTCTTAAAAAATATTTTTCTAATTTTATATCAATAATATAATTTAGTTGAATTTCATTATAACAAGATTTACATTCAAAAATAAATTCCTAAGTAATATTTTAGGTCCAATTTATTGGAAAGATAAGCATGAAAGTATTCTTTAATAGTTAAATATATATTTTATTGTATTATTTTTAAAACTTTATATTTCTTAATTTTGATAGGAAATTAAATTGTTATTAATTGATTAAAACGTATAAATATCAAATCTTAATAATCGGCTAATTTTTTAATATGAGAAATTATATGTATTACACAAAATTATACATAAGAATCGGATGAAAATAACATATTATTATTCATTTGATATATTACTTAAAAAAAAAAAAAGGAAAAAGATATATTTATTTGAGGAAATTCAATAATTTATCTCGCATATTTAATGAATTACTTTGGTTTATATATGATTTACATTGTTATAATTTTAAATGAAATATTTTTGGCATAATAATATATAATTTATATAATTCTTATATATAATAATTTAATCTAAAATTTCGAATATTGTTGCGGGAATAACTGATCGAAATAAAATTCACTAGCGTCATATATGGATAGATGCTAATAAGACAAATCTAGGAAAGTTTATATTTAGTTACAGAATAAGAAGGAAGAATAAATCACAATAATTTGTTCTAGATTTTTCAGAATTAATCAATAGATCCGATTACTTGTTTCAATCTTCGTAATCTGATATCAAATTCACTTTGATTCGTTTTCCTTTCTAATGTTTTTTAATTTTTTTACATTTTTGTATAACTTAGAAATGTTAAAGATTACAATATTTCAAGATTACAATAGTAAATATAAATTATTAAATATGCAAGATAAAATCGGTCGGTTTTCTAAATAAACGTATATATATATATATAGAAGACGAGATTAATCAATTAAAATCAGCGCTTTTTTGGCTTTTTAGATCGTTGATTTGTCTTTTCTTTTTTTTTTCTGTTCGTTTAGCAGTAGACGAAAATGATACGCATGTGAGAGCCACCCACAACACCACCACTACCACCACTACCACCACCACCATCACTTTCAACACCACCACAAATCGTACGAAAGTTAGAATGAAATGTCCCAAGAACACGCTGAACCGACCTCAACCGTTGTACAGTCAAAAAATAGTGATAGGCTCGGAGGAATTAGTCGGGCGTGACATCGATAACGTCGTCAGGCAGCGTATAAATACCTTCGAAAAAAGCCCGAAGGTTGTCAGATCGACCGCCTTGATAATAAAGAGTTCTAAAATATCGGCGGAGTTATTGAAAGCTGGTAAAGAGATCGCGAACGAGACTTACGTATTCCCGACACCCGATTCGGGAACGATCATCACAACAGTGATAGACGACGGTCCGTTCGATTCTAACACCGTCGGTAAGACGATCTTGCGCAGGTCCAACGAGCAGGTAAGCATGCTCGTTCGTCAGGAGAATGAGGTTGAATGTCGCGGCATCGGAACCATGACGAAAACGGCAAACGGTTACATTGCATCGGAAACAACTGACGTCGAAGACGTTAGAAACGAAGTCGAAGCCACGAAACGACGGGAAAGGACAGGTAAATTAGGCGATGAATTTCTCCTTCATTCACTAAATAATAACACATACGTACAGGCTGTCTCATTTGATTTTGATATCTTGATTTTTTCTCAGTATTATTATTTGCAATGAAAAATTTTTCATACGAAACTTGAATAATGTTAAGGGGAATATATTATGATATATTATTATAATGCTTTTTCGTAAGTAAAAATCGCGTAAAAATCAATCTTTCTAAATAAAATTATATATTTTTTGATATATTAATTCGATATTTTCTATACAAAAATATTAAAAATATTATATATATTTAAAACACATTAACTTAAGTAAAAAAAATATTTCAATTTGAATTTTGTAAAACTTATTTTATACTTTCTGTATTCTACTTACACATTCATACAAGAAATTGTAAAATCTAAATTGAAATATTTTAAATAAATAATTTTTAATCATAATATTTTTTTGTAGAATGTTGATTTGCATCGATTATCTATTAAGAAATATATAATTCTATTTAAAAAAAAAAGTTAATTTTCATACGACCTTTATACATTCACAAAAAAATGAATAACAGAATATACATACCTTGACAGCATTCAACTTTTATTTGAAACATTTTTTCTTAGTAAGAATAATAATACGAGTAATAATTGAAAAATCAAAATATCAAAATGAGATGAAACATCCTATATACGCGAAAAGACTCTCCTACCATTTTTCTCGCTGTATGTCTTCTTCTTATTTAATCGTTCATCCAGTAAATATTATTTATTGTTTATTGCGTCACAATATACACAGTATAGTATTGAATTTCCTTTTCTTTTTTTCTCGCTTTCTTTTTGCATAACATCAAGCATGAATATATATATATAAATATATTTAAAAGTGAAAAGTATGATCCTTTTCACGATTAGTTTTTTTTTACACTGCACTGCATGTTTATAGATTTAATCAGTGATTTCATTTAGAGGTATGTAAATAATATCGTGTTATCAAATATTCTTGACTAATTGTAAAACTCATTAAATTATATTATTATTAATATTTTACATTCTTGTTAACATTCCTTTATAAAAATATTACAATTACAAAAAAACAATTTATGTTTTAAGCTCTCATGATCATTATTTTTGTTGTACTAATTTATTAAATTATCATGTTTCTTCGAGTTTTATATTTTTTTCATATATCAAATTGTTTATAATTGCAATAAAATTTTCAATTAAAGATATTTTGACATATATATATATGTATGTATGTATTTGTATTTACGTATTTGACATATATATATATTGTATGTATGTATATTTAC